TAGCCAGCTTTCGACATCATGTAGTGTAGCTGTTAAAGTTGTGTTCAGATCTAGATCATCGTTTGGAGAGTCGGGAGTGATAAGTGATATGTCGTCAGCAAAAAGTATGCATGTTGGTTTTATTGATTTTGGCAGGTCATTTATATAAATTAAAAATAATATACTTCCGAGAACTGAGCCTTGTGGGATTGAATGATTTATTAATTGGATGTCAGATGGGATTTTAGAAATATGTCGGGTTTTACTGTCAAAAAATTCTATTTGCACTAAATGTTGCCTGTTTTGTAAATACGATTTGAACCAGTCATATGCAATACCTCTTATTCCTATTGCATGTAATTTATTTAATAGAATAGGGTATTGGATTTTGTCATATGCTTTTGTCATGTCTAGCAATATCCCCACTCCATAACTTTTATTATTCAAAATGTTTAGAGCTTCTTAAATATATATGAACGTAGCACTGTCGAGCGATTTTTACGAAAACCGTTTTGGCTGTCTTCAAACACATGAAATGTTTCGCAGAAAGGGTAGACGCGGTTATACATTGCTTTCTCGAAAACCTTTGATGAGCTTGGTAATAGTGCAATTGGTCTATAATTGTCAGCCGCTGACTTTGAACCTTTTTTGTGTATTGGTTTTATTATAGCCTTTTTAAGGCGATCTGGAAAAACACCTTCCGTGAAGGATTGGTTTACGAGCAAGTTAAAAGGGATCGTAAGTTCATCGGCGCATTCTTTGAGTAAGATAGGTGGTATTTCGTCTAATCCATGACTATGTTTGTTTGGTAGGTGACGCAGTATTGTATTTATTTCTCTAAGATCAGTCGGCCGCAGATACATAGAGTTTTCGATGTATGTTGCGGCGGGCCGGCCCTGGGTTGGTGGTGCGCCGGCGCTAGGTAACCCCACTTTTGCGAAACATTCATTGAATGTATTTGCGACTTGTTTCGGATCTGTTATTTTTTTGCTATGGGCGTTCAATGATATGTTTTGGTAATCCGGTTTTGATTGTTTGTTTGTTCTTTCCTTGATTATGTTCCACATTGTTTTTACTACATTATTCGATTTGGTTACTCGCCTTATGACCTCGATTTTTTTTGATGTTATGATACATTTTTTTAGTGATTTTTGGTATTGTTTAAAATGATCCTTTAAGACTTTGCTTTTTGTGGTGTTAGTATGTAATCTTAATTGTCTTTTATTTTTGCATGATATTTGGATACCTTTTGTGAGCCATTGTTTTTTTCTTTTGATATTTTTTGTTTGTTTTGTCGGTATACATTTATTTAATAATAATTTTAATGTGTCGTCAAAAGAGTCATAATTTTGGTTTATGTTGTTGTCAATATTTATAATCCTCTCCCAGTCAATAGTCTGTAGACACTTTTTAAAACTTTGTATGTTTGTATAATTGAATAATCGTTTCTTTGTTTGCCAAGTTATCTGTTTGTAATTTTTGTCATAGGGAAGCCTTATTATCGTGCTTTTATGGTCGGAGAACCCGTTGTCCGTAACTAAGGTTTGCATGGATTTGTTGTTAAAATTGGTAAATATTAGGTCTATACATGTTGCAGATGTTTGTGTGACTCTTGTTGGATCTTTTATTTTCAAGTTAAAGTTACTCCCTGCCATTAGTTGTAAAAATCTTTTTGATTCTAAGCTTTTTGTTAGAACGTCGATATTAAAATCACCCCCCAAAATTATTTTCTTATTAGCATGTTTTGTGTTTATATGGTTCATAATAATATCAAGTTGGTTAAAGAAAGGGTCGATCTGTTTACCATTCCAATATAAGAGTATTAACACTACTTTTGGCTTACTTAATTCAATGGCACATAATTCTATCAGAAATTCCATGGACAAGTCCGTGATGTCTCTCCTCTCGGTGTATTCGATATCGTCCCTAAGCAGAATGCACACTCCTCCTCCGCCTCGTTTCTTTCTACAATATGCCGATGCGATGTGATAGTTGTTTAAGTTTATAAGTGTCATTTTTTCTTCATTCAACCATGTTTCTGATATGCAATATGCAGTATAATTTTCATTTTGTTCCATGAATGATTCAAGTATCGGCCATTTGTTGTTTATGCTTTGTATGTTTTGAAAGAGTATTTCTATTTTAGTTGCTGGTTCAGTAGGGACGAAAGGAACGCCGTGAGGAGGCATGTGGAACATTATTTCCTGCCGAAGTTGTATAGTGATTGTCGCTTGTCTTATTGGGTTCCTGACAGCTTCTTCTAGTGGTGGTTGTGTTGCATTCATTACTAATGTTTGGAGTTTGGGTTTTTTGGATTTGTCTGTGACCTGATGTAAATGTCTTGTTGTATTTGTTATAATAAGTTTCTCTTTGTTTCCTTCTCTCGTCTAAAGCTTCTTTATTTAAGTATTTAGATACATATAGTCCGCTGTGTCTAAAGCACCTAGCATTATTCAGTATATAAGTAGCCATCCTTTTGCTCATGAGTTCTATGCGTATTGGACGCCGAGTTCCTGTTCTGCCTATGCGGTTTAGTTCTTCCACGTACCCTGTGAGATTTATTTCCGCTATATTCATGAATGCGTTGTTTATTGTTGTTTCGAGGTTGACATCGTTTTCCCCGTTATATTCATTTAGCCCGTATAATACGATTGTTTTAGAATAATCTGGTGTTGTATTGTATTGTTGTTTTTCTAGTGATATTTTGTGTGCATAAGCCTTAAAGCTATTTGATTCCTCTTTTATTTCTTTAATCACGGCTTGTAATTTCGAGTTTTCTTTTTCCAAATTTATAATTTTTTTCTCAAGCGTAGATATTTTTTCTTCGATTGTGATTTGGTTTCTTTTAATATCCTCTATATTTTGTTTAAATTCGGTTTTTAGGTCTTTTAAAACATTCTCTATTTCTTTTTGAATAGTATTTTGTATTGCTTGTAAAATAAATTTGTTATTTTGTTGGAATAGTTCACTTACTTGCTCGATGGTGATTTGACTGGTATTTTTAGGCGAGTGCGAATTTGAGGGAGTATTGGTTTTTAGATGTACAAATTACAAATTACAAATTTTTATTACAAATTACAGTTGCAGAAGATGTGTCTGGACATGCATACGCGAATGGATATCGCGAGTATTCATCGATTATCGTAAGTATATATTTGTTATTGGTGTTCGATGGCAAGGGTCCTTTAAAATCTATGTTTAGCCTCTCGAATGGCGATAAGGCTTTAATTAGAGTCCCTTTTGCTTTAGCAAAGCGTGGTTTGATTTCCGCACATACGCGACAAGAAGCAGTCATCTGTTTGATATCATTTATAGAGTAAGGAAGATTCTTCAACTTAATTCAATGATACATTCTAGGATGAGAAAGAACGTCGTGAAGCTCGTACAATTTACTGTTACTCATAAACGCACAAACTCTAGACAGAGCGTCGGCAGCAGTTTTCTGATTTCCTGGTCTGTAAACAATATCGTACTTGTAACACGACAGTTCTAGCCTCCACCTTTCAATTTTATCGTTTTTAATTTTGCTCGCATGGTTCTGATTAAAAATAAAGCTTACGGATTTCTGATCAGTGATGAGGAGAAAATGTCTGTGGATGAGGTAATGACGCCATTTTCTAATGCTTTCGACGATTGCACATGCTTCTTTTTCTACGGCAGCGTGTTTACGTTCGCTGTCTGACAAAGTTCTTGAGAAGAATGCAACTGGGCGACCCTTTTGAGATAATGTTGCAGCTACAGCGAAGTCAGAAGCGTCAGTCTCTACCGTCAAGGTATCTTTGTCGTCAATAGCAACCAATGCTGCCTTCTCGATTTCTGATTTCAGAAGTTTAAAACTACGCTGGCCGTTTTCGTTTAAAGGGAACTGGCTGTTGTTGATTAACGTTTGAATTTTCGCAGAAAAATTGTGGACCCATTTGGCGTAATGAGCAAATAGCCCAAGGGCTCTCTTGAGTTCAGCAGTGTTACGAGGTATTGGTAGTTTTATAAGCGGATCAAGGCGGTCCTTATCAGGCTCGATAACATTATTCTTGACCGTGTATCCTAGTAGGCTAATAGAATTTTTGCTGAAATTACACTTTTGTTCGTTTAATGTGAGCTTGTACTTTTTTGCAGCAGACATGAATTTCTTTAAATTCTCGTCGTGTTCTTCCTTATTTTTACCGCAAACGGTAACGTCATCGAGATAAGAGAAGGTCCCACGTAACTGTTCTTTTTCGATAATATGTTCAAGAGAACGTTGGAAGGCGGCGACTTCGTTAGTGACACCAAAGGGAATACGTTTGAATTGCCACAGCTTACCACAGGCTTCAAATGCTGTGTATTTTTTTTCTCGATCTAGGATAGGGATCTGATGGTAAGCGCTCTTTAAATCGATCTGGCTAAAATGATTGTATTTAGCCACTTTCGAGACTATCGACTCAATATGAGGTAATGGATATGCATCTAGATATGTAAACTTATTGATTGTTCTGGAGTAGTCGATGACCATTCTCTTTCGATGGGCTCCTCCACCAGCAACAAGTACCTGGGCGCGCCACGGAGATACACTCTGTTCGATAATTCCATCATTTGAAAGCTTCGATATTTCTGTTTGAATAAATTCTTCATCGTCATTGTTATGACGCCTGGACTTGATAGCAATAGGAGTAATATCTGCAGACAAGTTAGTAAAAATAGAAGCTGGTGGTACGGAAGCTTCCATCACGCAAATATGCAAGGGCTGTCCAGATCCTCCGAATTGGAATTCGAGCTTTGAATGGTTCCTTAGTATGTCGTGACCAATAATGACGTCCGCGCATAGGTTGTCAATAACGAGAAAAGCACGTTGCTTGTAAATGTGATTGTTTATTTCTAGCGTAGCGAAACATACACCGTTGACTGTTGATGTGTGGCTTAGAGACGCCAGATTAATAGTATGCTTATACGGACGTTGCTGTAACTTCATCATCCGAGCTATGCTTCTATCAATAAAGCTCACTGAACTTCCTGTGTCAATTAACGCGTCGACACGGGTGTTATTAATAGTAATAGCTGGCTTTTTCTAGGCTTGACGGAGATGCCGCAGAGTATAAAGTGTTGACTGTTTCGTGAGAACATGGACACGGTGAGAACTCGACTGGAGCGACGGGGCTTGGGATGGCGTTACTTGTAGAAGGATTGCCACGGGAACAACAGACAGAAGCAAAGTAACCCTTCTTAGTACACATTTGACAGTAGGCGTGAAAGGCGGGGCACTTTATTCTTTGATGTACTTTACCACCGTAGAAGAAACAACGCTTTATTGATATCTGTGGCGGCGGGACTGCAGCGTTTTGTTGAAGCGGTATGAAGGGTGCTGGTAATTCTTGTGGAATTGGCACTGGCAAAGCATTCATAGTATTTTGGACACTCATACCCATAGTTACAGAGTCCTTTTCAGCAGTTTCGAGAGTGACAGCCTGATTATAAGCTTCGTCCAAAGACATAATTTGTTTTTCTAATAATCGTTCCCGAATTTTAGGTGACAGAATACCAGCTATAAAGGCGGTTCGTATAGCTTGGTCTCTGTGTTCTTCAATTGAGACTGCCTGGAAGTTACACTGTTGTGCAAGGATATGCAAAGCTCGGCTGTAATCTGAAATACTTTCACTTTGCTTTTGTTTCAGTGTTCCGAGGACGTGGCGGGATAAGATTTCATGTTGAGGTTTAACGTACGTTTTATTCAAAATATTAATGGCGTCCCTGTAGCTTTGACAGTCTTTGATTTGAATGAATATACTGGTTGTCAAGTAGTTCGATAATAATTTTAATTTTATGGAATCCGTTACGTCACCAGAATCAGGGGCATGTTCAGTTAGGAAGTTTGTAAATGCACGCAGCCAATGCACCCACTTATCTACAGCAGCGGGATCAGTGGGTTCAACATCAAACCTTTCAGGGCGTAAATATCTTGCTAGAGAATGTGATAAAGATTCTTTAGAGTCATTCTTCGAGTCCATCATTATCACTAGTTAATTAAATTGATACATGGAAACGAAATACTAATAGAAACTTGGCTTTAATTAACTAGAAACGAGCACACGTACAATAGATAGATTTAAAAATATTTGTATGACAGATACACTTCAACGATCACAGACAACACATACTGATAATTTAGGAAGCACAAAGGAGATTATATGTCACAAACGCGTTCCATCGTCGGTCACATCGTCGCTTAACATCAGGTGAGATTATGCCCAAACGTGTGGCATCAATCTTTTAAAATTAATTTATGCATATTTATTTTGCAATTAAAGCATAAGGTGGCTTATAAATTTTAATGTTAACACTTATTTTAAACCTCTGGAACTAACATTAACATTCTATTTGAACTAAACTGTGTGCTACAAATGTAATTCACTAGACATATAACTAGATCTCTGCGACACAAGTATTTAGGTACTTAGTGCAGAAACCGCGAGAAACCACTAGTAGAATAGAATTATGTAACATAGTTGAATAGTGTAGTGTAAATAGTATAAAAAGGTTTCGTCACTTGAAATTAAGTTAAAATAACTGTCTTGCCAACTCCTGTCCTCACTGCGCAAATCCAGAAAAAAAACATCAATTCAGATGAATTGATTTATATTGAAAAAAAAATGAAATCGACATCTGTCGAAAATTCAAATTTTTTTGTACAACTTACTACCTTTTTATTTGTTTATATTTATGCCCAGAATTGTTAACAGATAGTGCCAATCCCTAAAATGGAAGTTCTTCCAAATAACAGACAATCCTAACTAACCATGGAACTTCCTCGCAGTAACCTCAAGTCTAAGCAACTAAACCATCACGAGACGTTATTTCAAGCAATAAGAAAATAACTGATAGAGACCCTTGTAAATAATGTGTAACAAAAAGCCAGATATCCTGTTAAGATCAGACGACGAAGATGCAACATATACATGTACACCACAAAACGCTTTACTGGAAATCTCTGATTCAAATACTGATGATACTTGTCAAGCCAAGTTTGGAGCCGGTTTACCTTACATGCTTAAACCCACGGAATGCGGAAAAAATCCACCACCTCCACCCCCACCTCCACCACCACCTCTATCTGAACCTGAACCGGACGAGCCTGCTCCAGTTCCATCTAAGAAAGGTAAATAAGAAAGGTAAATAATAAAATTAAATAATATTGACAAATGGAATCCAACAACGTCGTTATTAGTGATAAAATTCACATACAAGATATAAAATTGAAACTATAAACTTAGGATAGCTAAAAGAAATTAAAAAAATCACAAGTGGTAATATAGAAAAAAAAGAATGATGAACAAAAAAAAAATGTTACGTGAAATGGAAGTAAAATCATAGTAGCAATTTAATTCAGAGACGCATTAAAAAGATTTCTTTAGCAAATAGTGATATAATGAAAACTGTGACATTTGTTATTAATTAATGTCCAAAAAGAATAAAAATCGCAGTCTTGTAATCTCGCATTCTAAGATCATGTGATTGTAAAGAAATTCAGAATTATACGATAAAAATGCAAAGTACAAAAATTTATGAAATTGTAACAATACAAGCGCTAGAACTACAAATAAAGAAAATCTTTGCAAATGCTAATACCAATAAGCCTAAAGCAGCTATAACAAACAATAATGACAGCTTGCGTAAAGTAAGCAAAACAAGGGCAACAGACACAAGTCCGTACAAGAAAGAAACGAATTACGAATGTTTCAAACAAAATGTGGAAAGTATTAACCGAAACATTTATTCAAAGTATTGATAAGGTTTTGGATATAGTACAAATAGTCAGTGCTATATTTCTACAGAGAGTATATGAAGTTTTTATGGCTGTAGATATTCTGACATCTTCAGCTCTCAGGTAAAAATACACCCAAATGTTGTTATTCGAAGCCAGAGTTAAAGAACATCTTGATACAAGTGGAATCTAAAACTAGAACAAGTTTTTAGATTTTTCGGTTTCTCTGTTTCCTAAGGTGTTGATTTCAGTTACATATACATTTTGAAATAAGATAGGTGTTCTGTTATGAAGTTATTACTTTGACATTTAAGCAGTTGTTTTAATATCCTATACATATCCGGATGTGAAATAAAATAATAATTATACTGCCATGAAAATGCTTTTATTTGATATTTTAAATACACTATACTCTGATGGATAGAAGAAAAGAAAATTTATTTATTTGATTACCATAAGTGACACCACAAAAGAAAACACGTAACAAAACAAGAGAGAAAAGGAAAAAGACACAAACTAAACAAAATCACAAACAAAAGGATAATAATAATAATAATAATAAATAGAGTTTAAAATAAATATGATAATAATAATAATAACGCACACACTTAACATAACCTCGCACTAGCGAAAAAAAGAAGTTAAATTAAAACAAACACGGACACTAAATATAAAGATACTTTGTAGAGCCAGCTGTAGTAACAAAAGAGTCACTAACTTAGTATTCGATGGAAAACTCAATGCATTGCAAGCACTAATTTTCAGTTGAGACCTTAAATGAGGTGCGAAAGAACATGCACAAGCATACTTATTTAAAGGTAACCTATCGCAAACTCGAATTTCTTTTTTCCGAAATCCATTACGCCGAACACGGTTCGACTTTTTTTCATTAGTGCGATCATTGACTTACAATTATATGAACGTCGGGTCCGCGCTAAAAAGTGTCCGAACTTATAGGGCGTTAAACTCTTATACAGAGCGCCATTCACGCTTTAGTCTTCGTTTGTTCGACTGACAGCGAAGCAAGCAAAATTAGACAGTACTGCGATGACATTACAATTTAAATTCAACGTTTTAACTTTTTCGTATTCCTTTACATGTCACTACGTTTAAATAGGTTGATTTGGGACATTTTTTTTCGTGGTTATTGCATTAGACCCGTCGTCCATTTATTTGTAAGTCATTGAGTGCGATGATAGTTATAGTATAAATTTGCAACACAGAAATGTTTTACAGCAGAAGTATCGTTCGTCCGAAAACATATTATTAAAATGATTATTACGGATATGTATTCTTTGGGCAGAAGTTTGTTTGGTCGAATGATGTTTTATTATACCGTCTGTTGTCCATGTAATTTAGATTGCTGAAAATTCGATTCGACAAAATTATTATTCTTCCTAATTCTTCGATAAAATTGTACCACCGTACAGCTCCAAAATGCTGTACTGTACTTTGCTGGTGCACTGCAAGTCCCACTTATGTAATTTCCGTCAAACCATTGTCTTACGTTGCAGCTGTCATCTGAAATGTAATATAAATACAATGGTCTTCAGTATTCAAAAAATAACTTAAACTGAATCACGGCGAGTGCCACAACGTGTGTTTAGGTTAGGTCAGTGTCGCGGATCGACTACGAAGGGACAGATATAAAACTTTTTTAAAGTTATTTTACTATTACTTGTCTTTTTTTTTGTATTTTTTTTTTGTATGATTCGCCAGTTCTGTTTTTCGCTTATGTATAATTTTCTCTGCAAAATATAATTTTACAGCTTTATTTTGAGCCTAATTTTCTCAATCCTCAACGTTTTGGTCCATTCGTCCGGTAATATTTACGAAATTACAAGTTTCAAAATTTTTCCCCATATTTCCTTTTAAAAACCAGGACAAATGATAACCCGTGCTCAAAGTAAAACTCAAGTAAAATCGAGTGCGGCCGAGGCCTTCCTGCCCGTTTCGGGTTCGCCTCACGCTGTCGCATCCGAACTCGCACTAGTCGCGACCGCACCAGCGGCCGCCGACGCGGTATCTATTACAGAGACAGAAACATCATGTTCTTCAGCGACGATTCGCGCTCGTACCCTCGCCGTTCAGGCAGCGTATGCTCGGAAAGCGGCCGATGCGGAGCGAGTACGAGCAGCAGCAGAAACGAAAGAGTTGGCGCTCGAACTTCAAGAAGAAATCGCTTAATAGAAGCCAGCGATAGCCGTCGCGGCTCTAGTCATAGCAGCAGCCTGGCGGCAATGTCATGGAATGGTTGGAAAAATCTGCGCTTCTAAACCAGTGTACATTGGAATCCCGCAAGTATGCCTCTCCGGGTGCTCCTATCCCTGAACGCCCGGGTAGTCCTGCCCTTGCTTTTAATGTGCCTGTTTAGTTCAATCGCTCGGAACTACGGATGTACCTCTCCTTGTACATCCCGGATGTTCCGCCTCTGCAGTTGCCGCGCCCCTTCCCTATACCATCCCGCCAGTTAACCCTAGTGTCCAGAATTACCGCCTGGCGTTGCATACTCGCGCGTCAGGTCCTACGCCGCCCAGGTCAAGCTGTGACGCACCAGCGGATACGAATAAAAGTACCCCTATAAAGTATGTAAGTATATTCTTATTTTAGCTCAAACAATTCAGAACTTATCCAAAACTAATAGTGAAAATCGCATTCCAAACTTTGATGGCAAGATTTACGACTGGCTTGCCTTCAAACGAGCATGCGACGCCTCAGCATCGTCGTATTTTCCTTTAGCTAACATGTCTCAACTAAATGCGGCGCTCTTTGGCCCAGCACGAGAGGCTCTTGGTGCTCTTTTATCTACAACGCACGACGCTAGCAAGATTATTTCTGTATTAGAACTACATTTTGGTAGGCCAGAGTTTATTATACTTCATGAAGTTGCAGCTGTTCGGTCATTACCTAAGGTGAACGTAGAAGGTAAGGATTTGCATTTCTTCGCCGGCTGTGTACGCAGTTGCATTTCAATTATGAAGTTTCTTAACAACAGGTCTTATTTAGAATCACCGGTCGGAAAAACGAGCCGGGAAAACTGCGCGTCGTCCACGACGCTGCCGCCCTTATCCAAGGAACCAGTCTAAATTCACTTTTATTGACTGGCCCCGATCTGCTGTCTTCTCTCGTAGACATTATTTTTCGGTTCCGCGAAGACAAAGTCGGCATGACGGCTGATGTTAGGAAGATGTTTCCCCAAATCAAGATAACGTCCGAGGACAGGGATGCGCAGCGTTTCTTGTGGCGTGT